ACACACACACACACACACACACACACCCTCTGCCAGCTGTCAGAACATTCTGATTAGGTGCTTACGTACAGAAAAGCGTGAATAGGACTCCATAATTACACAAACGTATGTGAAAAAACACATTTCACTCCAAAAAACCTGCAGCTGAAAAACGTGTAGGTGTGTTTTTTTCCATTAATGTATCTCACAACCTGTCAGCTATAATTCACACTGAACCGCAGTTCTAACCAAAGAAAAAAAAGGATCCAGATGAATAAAATCTCTACAAAGTGTTTCTATGATGGACAGAGGTGATGCTGGGAGGCTCTGATGAATATTAAACATTTACTCGTCTCAATTTACCCCAAATGGTGTTAAAACATAAAATGTGTTGGTTTAGAATCACAAATAAAACCGTCTGCAGGTGGAAGACATTTACTGAAGGGATTGTGGAGGATCTCCAGGCGAAAGTTTTGATAAAGGATATATTCAAATATCTACATCTACTAAAGTCATAAACAACTTACCCAAACCATGGGTTTAGTGGTAGAAGACTAATCCTGACCATATAGGATCAGTGATAGATGACTAGTTAAAATTAAGGGTTCGGTGGTAGATGATTAGTTTTAACCATGGATTTGGTGGTAGATGACTAGTCCTAACTGTGGTTTCAGAGGTAGATGACTAGTCCTAATTATGGGTTCGGTGGTAGATAATTAGTCTTTAATATGGTTTAAGGGGTACATGAATAGTCCTAACTATGGGTTCGTTGGTAGTCTTTAATGTGGTTTCAGTAGTATATGACTAGTAATAATTATGGGTTCGGTGGTAGATGATTAGTCTTAACCATGGGTTTGGTGGTAGATGACTAGTCCTATCTGTGGTTTCAGTTGTAGACGACTAGTCCTAACTATGGGTTCGGTGGTAGATAATTAGTCTTTAATATGGTTTAAGGGGTACATAAATAGTCCTAACTGTTGTTTCGTTGGTAGTCTTTACTGTGGTTTCAGTGGTATATGACTAGTAATAATTATGGGTTTGGTGGTAGATGGTTAGTCTTAACCATGGGTTTGGTGGTAGATGACTTGTCCTATCTGGGGTTTCAGTTGTAGACGACTAGTCCTAACTATGGGTTCGTTGGTAGATACTTAGTCTTTACTGTGGTTTCAGTGGTATATGACTAGTCATAATTATGGGTTCGGTGGTAGATGTTTAGTTTTAAGCGTGGGTTCGGTGGTAGATGTTTAGTCTTAAGCATGGGTTCGGTGGTGGTTGACTAGTCCTAACTGTGGGTGTCATTGATAGATAACTAGATCAAACCAGGGGTTCAGTGTTAGACGACTTGACACAAATAACGGTTCAGTGGTCAACGAATCATCCTCACCATGGTTTCAGTGTTGAACAACCAGTCCTAACCATGGTTTCAGTGTTAAACAATTGGTTCTAACCAGRGTTTACTGCAGCCAGCCACTTTGGGGGACTCATCCAGCTTCCTGTCTGGTCTCTTAATAATATTTTGTCTTTATGTTTGAGGACAAGTTAGCACATGGTAACTAGAAAATTGAGGATAAACTTGTTGCTAAAGATAGAAAGGCTCCATTTTTTGGTTAAAATAATAAAATGACCTTGTTCTCAGCTTCACATTGTTTTTCCATAAAACATCAGGTTTCCTTCAAACATCTGAATGGATCTTCATGTCTGCTCTTTGTGTCATGTTCACACATCTTTTAATGAACCTTTTCTGTAAACAAACTGGACGATTTACCAAAGAAACCAGATATTTCAGGTTAGAGCCTTTATTTTCAGATGTTCCAGAGTCGGTGTGCTGCACAGGGGCACCTTGGCAGGAAACGGACCAGAACACACACTCYGAACAAAAACAGCAAAAATCTGAGGAGCGTAACTAAGCGAACACTGGGATCTCTGATATTCAACAGCTTTCCCTTTCATTTCACTTTTAAAAACCAGAGGAACACGACAGAACTGATCTGGGACTTTTTCCAAACCGTGGATCCGCCTGTTAGTCTTGGCACCGAGCTGAAGTCTGGTTACGTAACCAGAATCTGAACGAGTCCCATCTCTGGGAAAAAACACCTTTAATCTGCTGCGTTCATGGTTTACATCATAAACAGACAGCAACACGACAGAGACGAGTTCACTGAATGAAATCGGCTCAAAGTAGAAATTGTTCACGTTAAGTGCCGTCTCAGACGATTTAGGAAGAACAATAAATTCTGTTATTCRTTTGAGTCAACGTTAGCTCCTATAAGCCTCATTTAAAGCTGAGAAAAGTGCCCGGAAAATAAAACAGGGTGACGTCGTCTTCCAGTAATCTGAGTGGATTAGGAGCCGAGGAGGGTATCGTCCCGGGGATATTCAACTGTTTCATTCAGCAGCTATTTGTCTCGTCCCTTTAAGCCTGCGATCTGAGCCCAGATAAGAACACGGCCAAGCTGCCACCCACTTTGAACTTCTGAGGAATTACTAATTTTTTTCCTGGAATATGATCAGAGCGAGCGCTGCTCTGCCACACCTCGACCCCGAGATGCGTTTCAACTCGTCTGTCGAAAAGCAAAAGCAGAAGACGAGAAAGTGACGCCTACGACCGTTAAAAGACGACTTTCACAGGAAATGTTCTGAAAGCAGAATCAATCACTTTCACCTGTTTCTGCAGAGTTTTACATCAGAGACACGAGGGGTTACGAAACTCTCAGAAGCTCAAAACATTGAGAATCTATGAGAGTTTGGGTCAAAGACCTGAGAGCTCAGGAGTAAAGAACATCTCCTCACTGTGTCTGGATGCTGCTGAGCTCCTGCTCGGTCTGTTTCTGCAGCTGCTGGAGGTGAAAGGTCAGCTCCTGACTCAGAACAGCAAACCTCAGCACTTCTTCCTGTCCTGTCTTCTGCTCAAACACCTGAAACACAGATTATTGTTCTTGTTTATTTATGTAAGAAGGGACAGTGCACATTACAGAACATGTCAGAATTAGCCATGAAGGCTARTTTTCATCTGTAGTCCCTGAAGACCCCAGATATAAATATAATACATACAAATTAACAACATTCTTTCATTAAAAATGACTAAAAACATGATTAAAAATTTAAAAAGCCATTTAGCTCAACAATAACAATCCAAAACAATTCATTTAACACAAAATCACCCAACATTTGTGCTACAATCAGTGGGGGATTATTAAATAATCGTCTTGAATTAGCATTTTTGCTAATAGCTAACAGAGTGCAAAACCTTAAGATGTTCCCAAAAAATGTCAAATAGTCAAACAAAGAACAAGTAGACCAGGAGTGGGCAACACTGTTTACTAAAAAGACATTTTCTCTTTGTTAAACAACCAAAAGCTAAATTAGCAGCACATTGCTAGCTGTAGCTAACACACAGAACATTTAAAACAAAATAAATAAAACAGAGAAAGCTTGTTTTGTTTACAGAGTTGGACAGAACTACGTTAACTAGTGTTTGTTAATGTTTGAAACTTTGTTAAAAACAAAATATGCAATCCAAGCAATCTGTTGGAAAATTCCCCTCCCTTTTTAAATGAGTTAGCAAAATTAGCATGCTAGGTTAAAACGCAGGAATACTCATTATCAAATCAAACATTCTGCATATAAACTGAGACTTGTGAYAAATTTAGACTTTTACACATTTATCTAAGGGGAAAAGTTTTATGTGACATGATAAGCAGGAAGTTTACCATGCTACATAGGAAGTGCTACAGCTAGCTGCTACAACTACCAGAGTTTTATGTAAAAAAATGTAAACTTTAAAGGCCCTGTGACATGTCCATCCTTCAAATACAAAATGTCAAAGAAGAAAATTGGCATAATACACATGATTTTACCCATTTTGTCTCATCACTGGCCTATTGCCTTTTGAACTTGGTTCGGCCTAAATGAAACAGGAAGTGACATCAAAGGGGAAGTCTTTAATAAAATAAACTCCCTGGTCTTTGTTTATTAAAACAATAATATTCAAACTTTAACTCTTCTTCATCTCTCTTTGATAGTGATTCAAAATAATCTAAAGAAACATCAGATTCTTCTCTACAGTCTGTGCTGTTAGTTGTTGTAACAAAGGTCTGTTCACATTCAGACATTCCYCTWTGACATCACTTCCTGTTACTTCACATGCAAATATCTCAACAACCGYTCATCTCAGCRGCGTGAAATTTMTTTTGCAATATGTTATCAATGTTATCTTTAAAAAAATGCATTCATATTTACTACAAAAATTTGATGTCACAGGCACTTTAAAATTKAATTYRCTTTCAGATGACAGGAAGTCTCTTCAGCCCATCAGTCCTGTCAGAAWTAAACYTCATTTTGGTAAAATGAGGCTGTTCAAAGACTACAAATCAAAATTCCACTTTAAAGATTTGAAACCACTTTAAAGCCTAAAAGTACAAAACAGAGAAAAACAAGAAACTATCTCCTGACAAGCAAACGAGTAGAACGAGGGTAAAAGAGAAAAGCAGGAGTTGAACTTCAGTCGTCCTTCAGTCAGAGACGACAGATCTGCTGAGTCATGCTGGCAGAACACGATCACCCCGATCCACCCCGTCATCTGTCTGAGTCCACATGACTCAGCCCGGCAGGACCGCCTTCACACGCTTGTTTTCAAAAACATTAAGAAATATAAAACTGGATTCATTTTTCAGAAAGAAAAATCCCTGCAGGCAGTTTCAAGCTTATTAAATGTTTTTAATTACTTTATTTTGAGTATTGGAGATAAAAGGAGAGAAATTCTGAATAAATGTTTTCTCAGACGATGGAGCAACAGACACTAAACTCTGAACAAAAACAAAATTAAACTTTCAAACTTAAACAATCATTTAACATGATTATTGATGTAAATAAGATTCTAACCAATTTTGACCAATTTTTAAAAATATTAAAGATCTTTAACATTTAAAAACTAACAGATTATTATTTTTGCTGTAATTTACCTGCTGGTTGGCAGAAGGTAACTGCAGGAGTTTAACTTTGTCCTCTATCTGCTGCCGTAGTTTCTCCACAGAAACAGGAAGTTCCTCCTCGCAAACAGGAAGTTCTTCCTCAGAAACAGGAAGTTCCTCTTGGCTTCTCAGGAAGTCTGGAGCCTTTAACAGACGGAGAGAGGCGGGACTTTTAATCACCTGTCCATCAAAATAAAATGGACCAAGGACTCGTGGGTCATTTAATAAGTTAAGTTTTTCTTTGGCTGATTTTGTCCTCGAATGTTTTTAGCCACATCAGATCTTTTGAAGTAAGGTTCTGTGGAGAGGTTATAGGTAATTAATATCTYACCTGTTGTAGAWAAATATATTTATAATCTAGAGTTTAGGCAAACTGATGAGCTAGTCAGAGCTGGACTGAGACCCTGGCTCCAGTCTGTTTCACATCGTTTCATGTTTAAAAAAAAAATCACTTTATAATGTTATTGTCACCGATTTGTTTTACTGYTCCAACAGGAAGTGCTTCATGCTGCACAGGAAGTGCTACAGCTACAGTCTACCGGTAATGTAACTTGGAAATAACAGTTAAATTCTGTATAAATAACCGTGACACAGACTTTACAGCAGTTTAAAGATGTGACAAATAGCATTAGCAAGAACCACTATAAATGTTGTAATACGGCTGCWCTGACTAGCCTTTAGCTCGTTGTTTTGATCAGAATTCAAATGAACATTTGTTATTTTCACATTAAGGGAACGTGTTTCCCAATGCAGTAAGGTTTTTCTTTGATGCCGGCAATAAATCCCAAATTAAACCATTTCTCCAAATTTAAGTAATTCATCTACAACAGGTAAGATATTGTTTGTTTATCCACAGGACCACATTTTATTGGCCCAGAAAGCTTTGGATTTTTATCGGGCATTTTCTGTTAGCAAAATATCTTCTGAACCACATATGCATTTGTAACAACAAATAAACGTCAGTTTTACAGACATGGACCTAAAATTTGGGGTGGTAGTTGCTGAGAGTCCTACCAAATGATCTCATTTCAAACCAAACAGAAACAAAACAAACTGTTTCACACCTACAGCTGCTTATAAAGCGTCTCGGAAAACCACAAATCTAAACTCTGAGCTTCATTCAGACAGAAAAACCACAGATGGATGGCGAGCGATTCAGAGGACGAGTCGATGCCTCCGTGACCCGAGTGGGCCGCAACCAGACGACACCCAGAAGCTGATTTCTGATTAAACACAATTAAAAACAAGATTTTATCTCTTTGCTGTGGATAAATTAAGATGCTGCAGCTTCAGGGAGCAGAAACTGCATTTTATGTAATGACAACGAGATTAAAAAAGAAGTGTACATTATTTGAGTTCAACTATCAGCAAAGTTCTTTTGTTTTAAAGGTAATTATAAAGTAAAAATGCCTGATGAATGTGGGACGCTATGATTCTCTCCTCATTACTCTCTAACCCCCGTCTCCCAGAAATGATACTTATATACCGCTAATTTGTTTTGCTAATTATGTTTCCCAGCAAAACATAATTGGTGAAACAAATTAGCGCTATAGAAATGTAATTTATAAGAGACAGGGCTCTTCTGTCAACATAACCACATTGTTTAAAGGAGACATATCATGCTAAATGCACTTTTTTGCATTTAAAAACTATTTTTTGTGCAATTATAGTGTCTAGGAAGGTAGAAAACTTTAATTTATTCTGTCCAGTTACTGCAAAGATATTTATATATTTTTTATGGGTCAAAATTTTCAGTTTGTTCAAAATCTGCTGTTGCTTATTTTGTTTCATTGTTTATTTTGTCACACTTTTTGTTTTTTCAGAACTACCATTTATGGTAATGTATTTCCGGCCAACTGGATTTCATAGTCCGCCATTTTTTTCCTCGCTGTGTGATTTTGTAGTTCATCGCGTCATGCCGAAAATGCAAGTTCAGAAGTCAAAATGTTCGGTTCTGGGGTGTGTAAACCCACATTATTATCTACATAGACTACCAGCATCAGAGCAGAGCTTCTTCAAAGTGCCTGGTTAAGTTTTATTTTTCAAGAAAATGGACCCACAACAGGGTGGAAAGTGCTTGCGGTCAACACAGGATGAATGTTACAACAACAAGGGTGAGTTATGAACTGTAAATGTGTTTTACGTAACTGTCTAATTTAGCTGTTTCTACCCTCTGTGTTGGAATATGAAGGGACAAAGAACAGCTATGTTTAAGTTTCTTTACCGAACGGGTGCTCAGCACCATGTTTTACTTTCACTTTCGCCCCGCACTGTAATCAGCGTGTCCGTGTTGTTTTTCTTTTTAAAAATGCTGGAGCGTTTCAAACTGTCATCTAAAGTTAACGTCAGCTGTTTTAAATGCATTTTTTGCCTGGTGTTAAAAACGGGAGCAGCAGAATGAGGCAGAGAAGCTGTGAGCGCTGGATGTGTGTCTCTCCTTTTTTTCCTCTGTGTTGCTGTTTTTGCATCAAAAAAGCTGGGAACATAGTCATTTTATGTAACAAAATATATTAATCTTATGAATATACAAATAAAAACAGAATATTTAGCACTAGATAAAATAAGTAATGAATTTATTTATATATTTTTTAAGAAAGGGCTGAAAGAAGAAATCCTGTGTGGCAGCACTTTTTACAGCCTCTTCAGACAAGGC